CAAAATCCTCAAAAATAATTGCGTCATGACTCAATTATTTATATGTTTTAATAGTGACTCAATTAATTGCATCAATTGCGTCAAGGATCTATGAATTTCAGCAACATGTATAATACAATTGATATCTTTTTGTCTTTATAACTAAATTGCAGATTAATACAGCCTAGTGCTCATATTACTATCAGACTAGTTACACCAACCACTATTTACCTGATTGTATATTTATTTAAATATTTAAAGATGTGACCATACACTAAGTGGAACTTTTTGCAAAGGAAGAAATTTTACCACTAATTTAAACCCTCCTAAATCTACTAAGTTTTTTATTGCAAAAAGCAGTATTGTTATAAAATATTATTATAAAAATAAAATCCGGTATTCCAGTCACTATTATCATTAGATTCTTAAGATATGCCATTAGCATAACATAGCACTACCATTTTCACTACTTGTGAAACTAGTGTCTTTGCTTGGATTTTGATTTAATCTTAATGATTCTTATTAGACTTACTTGATCTTAATGATTTTTATCTGGATTGTCATCATCTGTGACAAATAATCTTTGTCTTTTTGGTCTATTTAAGTTCAAAAAAACATTACTCTTAAAATAGATCTTCAAGTTTCATATTGGAATAAATCAGCTTAAATTAGCCTTTTTATGTTATGTGATAAAATTTATTATCGCCAGTTTGAGTTAGAGTTTGTGGATTTATTACCAGAATTAAACCAGAAGCCTTTCTTATGTAGGTTTTTATAATAATAAAAATATTATTTTTTCTTGTTTCAAGCTGTTTTCAACTTGTAATTATTAAAAAGTCTAGAGATCTCATCTTTATACAATCTAATTAAATTTGAAAGTTAATTTTTGGTTAATTGAATATAACATAAATTGAAAGCTGATTAATCAATTATGAAAGTAATAAATTTTTGTAACCAGGTGAGTTTGAATTCTAAATCTTTTTCTGATGACTTATGGAGCATTATTACTATGCTATAGATTTATAGGTCTTTGAATATAAAATATTAATTAATTTAATTTAGACAAATATATAGTATATTGTTAATATTATTTTAATAAGTTTGTTAACTTTCTTTTTAATTAATTAAGAACATTAGATATGAGGCTTTATTGATAATTAAATTAATATTTTACTATTATATTAAATATTTTTACAAGCTAAACTATTGCTATTTTAGATATAAATTAATAATATTTAATGTCACTGGACAATTGACAAGTCTGTTACTATATTAGGTCTCAATTTATGTCATATATTATAAAATATTAATAAACTAAAAGCTTTAACTCCTAAAGTAATTTTAACTTAACTGGTATAATTTTATTCAATCAGAAAACTAATTTTGAATACTTTACAAGTTTTAAACTTTTAAACTTTTTTTTATTATTTTCTTGAAATATATATATCAATATAAAAATATAACAAATCTAAACTTAACCATTCTATTTATATTTTTTAATTTATATTATATTTAATATACTTATCTTTATACTTACCTTCATCATTTTCTACAATTTACCTATTACTTTTTTTTATAATATTAGTGAATATTATTTTCAATACTATTGATTATTTTTAAGTCAATCTAACTATTTAAGTTAATCAACTTATATCTTATAAATGGATTTGTATCCAGATGGAACTTATATAAAAGAAAGAAATTATATTATTAGTTTAAACCTACTCTTCTATTAATTCAATTATATTTTTTAGTTATTTACTAAAGAAGGTTATATAAGATATTATTATAAATACAATAATAAAGTATTTGAATTTATAAGCTAATAGTTTTTATTTTTTTTATATAATTAGTTTATTTTATAAATGTATGATTAAAATTTTAATTAAATAATACATATTTAATAATTATACTATTAATTTATCAAAAATAAAAAAATTACTTACATATTTAATTAAATTAAAATTAAATATTTTACTGTATATTTAAATTAAAAAATAGATTAATATAAAGGATCATTTATATATTTAAATAAATATTTTAGAATAATATGTAGTAAAGAATAAAATTATTAAAAAATTAAAAAAAATAAACTAATATAATAATTTTTAATCAGAAAGTAATTTAAAAAAATAATTTATAAATTTTGTAAATGAAATATTAAAAATAGTATATATTAAATAGTTATATAACTAATTTAAATACATCTATTATATTTTTATACTTTTTATTATTATGGGTCATATCTGAAATATCTTCAGAAACATTACTCATTATATGATACAAATAATTTTTGTAATTATCAAAGTAATTAAGTAGCTTCTGATTAACTTATAATTTATTTGAAATCTAGGATCATGTTATGTAAATAGTTCATCTAGCTGGTATATTGCATAAAATCATTGAACAATAAATACAATTTAAATTTAAACTATATATATACATTATATAAGTTACATGTATTATTTTTTTTTAAGATATTGTAGCTATTAAAAAGTTGATTAAAATTTATTTTTTATATTTTAGTAGTAAAGTGACTCTCACAAGTAATGATATGTTTGATTTTCTTTTATCTAGTGTATATTTCCCTAGAATAATTTAGATTAAGTCAGTATTACACAAAAATCATGATTGTAGTTAAGGGTGTATTTTTAAATTATTTAACATAAATTTTGTAGATCAATTATGACTCTTTTGAAGAGACATAATTATTTATTCATTATTTTAATAGGGACATAATTCAAAAAATATTTGAATTATGTGACCTAAATTGCAAAAAATATTTGAATTATGTGACCTAAATTGCAAAAAACCTTTGTAAGTAATTTTTTTTAACCTTATATTTTTAAAAAAACTTTTTAATAATGAGAGACATTTGAATTATATTCTTGCCTTTAATTTAAGAACCCATCTTTAATTGTAATACTCATATCATTGCTATATTGATTACTGTGATCGATTTTACCACGAAATTTATTTTTTGACCATCAAGCAGGTATGTAATTCACCAGATCACTCCCATTTACTGCAATGTCTTTTACTTCGAGCTTCAGATTATTTCCGATATATCAATTAATATCTTCATTCATGTCTAGAAGTATTCACCCCTAGGGGCTCATTTGAAATGGATCAATCGGTGGAATTTGCTCTGTTATGGCAAAGATTGTGAAGAATTCGTACAACTGTGGTAACAATAATTGTAGTGCATTTATGAGTTTTTATATTGATCCACCAATTCATGTGAGAACTTAACCTCTATATGGTATTAGTTGTAAATAATCCTTTGTACTTACCTACTCCTGATAAAACCGATGCTTTCTCATCCTTCTCATCAAGCCCGTATAGGTACACCAATGGTTCGAACAACACTTTGCTATTTTACAGAAAACTCTTTAATCCTACGGAACACAAAATCTGAAAATAAGATAACAAATTTTTTAACGTCATCCGAATTTTTCTGTTCTTGAAATGTTCCAAATATTTTTTATTAATTTGGAATCTCAGTTATAATGTAACCTGATCAGGATGTTGGTATCGTATTCGTTATATTGCAATAACTGTCATAGATTACATTACATAGTATGAGTCTAATTGTATTTACACTGATTTTTAACATGAAAGGAGATGTTAAAAAAAGGAGAACAAGGATTCCGTGTTACAGAAGTCAAAGAAAACCACAGTAGAAAAATAAAATGATATTTTGTTAAGTACGTACAAATAAATATGTTTATAAGTTATATAACCGGTTATTGGATTTTATAAAAAGTTGTAACTGTTCGGATAAATAGTTAACCGGGTACAATTATTACATACGAAGAACGCGTATCACAAACGCGTTTCCTTTGTAAAATATAGTGTGACAGACCATCATTACTTACCAAAAAATTTCACTCATGTCTAAAACGGTATGAAGGTTAATGCAAATGAACTTTTTTGTGATCCTGGCCTTTTACCTTTTGTTCATTCCAAAATAGATACACGAATATTTTGAACGAAAGTGTAGTGATTGGAGTATTGAAGATTTTTTAAATGAAAGTAAAGAGGAACCGTTCCGGCTAAAAATAGGCTTGTATACAAAAAGCCTTGAGGAAATTAATGTCAATGATCAAGGAAAGAGGCAGCAAAAAGCACAACTTTTGCTTAACAGATATATGAAGGCAAGTAAAATTCTTTTTATTGGAAATTTAGTTGTAGTAAAAGACGTGACGGGAACCTTCATGCTTCCTTATTATTCAAGTCTTTATGCCGAGCCAGAAAACCAGCATTGGGGCACATGTGACCTTTATGCTTGCCTGATGTTCAAGTCTTTATGCCAACTCGATGGAATGAAATTTAGAGGGGGAAAATAAAGGAACGTATTATAGTTACTGATTCCACAAAGTCTTTGTTAGGATGACCGACTAGACTATAAACAGGCAAGAAAATGGGAAGAGATGCATACAAACCAAATCAATGTACCCTCAGTCCACCTTCACCATTGTACATTCACTGGAATTGGGACTATTAATGGCGGAACTGGAACTGTCTGTGGTGGAACGTTTGGTGTTAATTATTCGCATAAAAAAAGAGATCTTGAAAAGGATGAGGTAGATCTTATAAATGGTCAATTATACACCAGAAAATGCTTCACCAATTAGTAATACATGTTTTTCTTAGGAAAAAGAACACTCGAAAGAATGGAATTTTAGACCACGGAAGAAAGTAAATTATGCCGATGTTTCGAATTCTGATACGGACTTGGATGATGTAATTAATTATACTCAAATCATAAATTATCCTGTTCTATATTATTTGTATTAATTTTAAAATAATTAAGTGTGAAAATGAGGTAAATGGAGGAGTATCCGGAAATGATCAAACTCACTTAGAAAATAACACCGTTTCTCGTGAATGCGATGGTATGTTAAGATCACTATTGCCAACATAATATATGTAAAATATTATTTATAAATATTCATTATTAAATAAAGAACCAGTGGATGAGTCAAATATAACACCCATTCAGGAAAGGTCATCGATGGAAATTGATTATGAATCGATAAACAAAATCGCTATGCAAAATGATAATGGTAAGAAGCCCTCCGTTTTTTTTGTCTTAGGTTCAGATATTGTTATCTAAACTTGACTGTTCTTTGAAATTACTTTTTATTGTACAGATGGATTTCGAACTCTTCCTCATCAAATTTCCAGTAACACATACAACCCAGAAATATCAGTTAACGAAAATATGCTAAGAATGTTTCCTATGAGTTTAGCCAAGCTGGACAAATCCAAGGTATTTGTTTGAAGACGCTAATTTTTGAAGCATATAAAAATACTAATGGTTTGCATTAAACATTACTTCGGGGGATTTATTCCGCATTTTATAAAATATAAGAACTCCCAGAAAAATAATCCATTTTCGTAAGTAGTTGAATTACCTAGGGTATATTTTATAATCTATAACTAATACCTTCTTAATATATAGGTTCACAATTGATGATGTAATGGATATTCGAGGAGAAAGTGGTTTTGCTAAATTTTTGCCAGTTAATGATTATATAGAATTACTATCAAAAAAACCAAAGAGGGTAGTTAAATTACCAGAAGATTGGCGTAATGTTATTGAAGAATATTATAAGGTAATTTTATATTATCGTTTTATTCGTCATTTACAACAATTATTGATTCTATTATTTTTATAGGAAACAACCGAAAGTGGGTCGGTAAAAAGTATATCAGACTGGATTCGTATTACAGAAGAATTGGGAGTTATAAAAGAGGAAGATAACAGAGAACTGATAAAACTAAAAAAATATTTGAATCGAGTTTGTAAGTGTTTTCTGAAGTTTATCGTTATTAATTACTCATTGTTCCTAACATCTTATCTTGCAGGATCGAATCATTCTCAAAACAAGTCCCAGATATCAGTGCTCCAGACAGTAGTGAACACCATTATTGGTCAGAATTTGGACATCGTTTTTTCTCAAGGGCATTACAAGAATTCGTAGGTCTTGATTGGCGGGCGTAAGCATTAAGTTTAATTAAGCTATCATAATATTATCATAATATTGTTTTCAAAATCATGTTATGTTGAATTTACTTTTATTTTAGCATGGAAGCTCCTGTACAGGCCTCCAAGTATAGAAAAAATTATGGACACAATCATATCTTTGACACAGTGGTTGATGGAAAATATGCAGACTTGTTGGCGCGGGTGTGGAAAACTGGTGAAGAAATTTTTGTTGGAGAACAAGCCGGACCTCCCACTCGATGTGATCTAACAAAATTAGCAACCGACTCTTTTAAATTGTATAGAGAAATGAGAGATTGTTTAAATGTTAGAATTTTACGGGCCATTGAAAAGGGTGACGTGAATTATGATAATCGGTCTGTCTTCGGAATATTGGGTTTTCTTTTTGAAATCAAAATGCTCATAATGTGGAAAGATGGTGTATACGTATGTGAAAAATATGGAAGCTTAAACATTGCTTCTAATCCAAGCCAAATTTCAGAGATGAAATCAGGTATATTAAGGCTATTGGAGTTTATGGTAAGTTGCATTTTATAATTTTATAAATATTTTTAATTGATCTATTCTAAATTAGTTCTGTTATAGATGATCATTAAAACCGAAACGAAAAATAACGTGGAAACTGAGTATAATCCTAATTCTATACAAATTTTGAAAAGAAAGTTTGATGAAATTATTCGACCGAAGCCATCGTCTTCAAAAGTTGCGAAGAGAAAAATATGTTAGTTTTTTCGTATTTTGTAACATACAAGACGTATCATAAGTGGTGTCATTTACCTTTTAGAAAAAAGTATTACTGTATATACCTTCTTGTATGAATAAATAAAAATTAAGCTCTACTTAGCGAAAATACGTAATTCTTTATAAAATAATTTTGTTCCTCACGATCTGCAATGTTTCAATTTTTATGGAACCTTTGACGACGGGCTGTCACCGAAATTTTTATTTAGTTACGCATTTTCAATAAACAATTGAGTATATACAATCTACTGTATTACTAAAACATGCTGAGCTTGAAGCCAAGAATGCCGAGCTTTTAAAACAGGTTACGGAAGAAGCACCAAACGCGAAGCTGGGAATGTTGAGCTCAAAGCTAGGATCACCAAATTGAAACAGACCGCAGAAGAAAATACTGAGCTTAAAGATAGAATCACGAAGTTGGAACGGAAACAGACGCAGGCTATTATTAATAAATAGGGTCCATTTCTTACAAAAGATATTTCACCACTTATCGAGAGCCACTCTGATGAGGAGAAAGGTATTACTCCTAATCCCTTGCCTGAAATAGAACATAGCTCAACTCAATCAAAGCCTGAAACATATACTATCTCTTTACCACAAGATATTATCAATGATGATTCAGCTGAGATCCTAGATTTTGTAGAAACGATACATAAGGAAAGGATTAGTAGTGAGATAAGAGAAGAACCAGGAAAAAAAACTTCAAGAATCACATAACAACTTGACACCACCGATACAATCAATCATGTCGACACCTGAATCTCTGGACTCGAAAACTATGAAAAAGTTTTGGGATCAGAATCAGCGGAGCTGGCACGGCTAAAATAAAACCCAGGACAAAACATCCCAATCACACAAGAAAAGGAAAAAGGGAACAGAAAATATCGTTCAGGTAATAGCTGATTTCATTCAGGATAATATTATTTCAGATTTAATTCATGTGACTGAAATTTCAGCGACGGAGTCGTCAAAATTCTGATACAATCTCATTACTCGACTTGGCACAATTATATGATAAAGCAACAAATACTGAATGTTATGTTATTAAAGCTAACCAGGAAGAAGCCTTACGCTGGATCACTATGGAAAAGATTTCATAATTTCAGTATAATGATCTTATAAAAAATAATAATGGCAAAGTTGGCGAGAAAAGGGTAAAGGGTATAATATATGATAAAATACTAGAGCATCTTACTATTATCCGTGAAAAAGATCCAAGGAAATAGATGCAAAACTTAATGTAGAAAAACCAAAATAGCTATAAAAACTTATAAATTATTCGAAAAAATAGACATTGATAAAATTAAGTATCTTAAAGCATATAGCACAAGTTCTATTTCAGAATTGACCAATGAACAAATTCTGATGAGTGAAATTTCGACAACGGCCTGAGGCAAGTACTGTACATTTATCAAATCTCAAATCATCCCGAAAAGGCTTTATTGGAAACTGAGATAAATGCATCTCAATCCAAGGAGGATTTACCAAAAACAGAAGTATGTGTCTTTTACGTAAGTCTCAAACTGAAACTAGAACCTTATCCGAGAAACAAATGATTATTTTCATTAATCAATTTCATTAATAAAAATGTTAATAATTATGATATATTATAATTTGAAATAAAAATGAAGTAATGTTAATAATACAAAATCAATAATATTCTGTATTAATTAATAGTTATACTGTTTGCAATTCTAACAAATTAAAATATACTATTGTATATATTCTATTTATTGAAACATAATAGTGTCTTATATCAAATCAAGATTATTTATTTGTTACAATCCTGATCAAGCTAAAGTATTTAATATATCCTTTAACTACTTTAGCTATTGATAAATCAAATATTATTTTGTATAAAATCAAGATTACTTATTAATTATAATTTTATAAATAAAAAATATATAACATATTTCATAATCAATATAATCGATTTTATTTTATCAATAATTTAATATTACCTTATATTAAATCAATATTTTTTATATTAATTAAAATTATTTACTAATTACAATTTCAATAATATTATAATAGTTGATACAATTGCAAATAATATACAAATTAATTGATAATTGCTTGTTAAACTTGTAATAATATCTTATATCAAATCAAAATTATTTATTAATTATTGTTTTAATAAAATTAATATTTTAAAATTTGTTGATAAAATCTATTTACAAAATAATATTGATTTTATAAATATTGAAACTTTTTTTTTTAATTATACATTATTTTTAATTATAATATTTTTTAAATATAATTAACTTATAATTTATTTTTTTTATATTTATATATTATTAATTTTTTATTAAATACATATTAATAATAACAAAAAATTATATTTTATAACCATAAAAAAAATAACCAATATATAATAAGTATGTTATTAATTAAGATTAATTTATTTATAAAGTATTAAAAATAAAAAACAGTAAAACTAAAATATAAAATTAATAATTAATTATATTATATAACTATAAATTATTTAAAAATAAAATCTACCTAAAAATATAAATATTGTTATGATATGAATTGTCACCAAATGTTATGATATGATTATTAAAATCAAATTTGATAATATAAGAAGAGTTTAAGAAGAAGATATAAGATTTGGCATATAATTCTTTATTAAAAGACTTTGTATTTAAGGATTAAGGCTTTTTAAAAATTCTTTTGATAGATAAATTCTTTATTAACTTTTATAAATAATCAAAATATCATTTAACTAGCTTTAAACACAAATAATAAAGTATATCATTTTCCTTATACTAATTATAATATATTGTTACTTAGCAACTTAATAGCAATTAGCACTATAAGAACTGTTCTCCTTATATAATCATATATGTACAAGCCTACCAAAATATTTATATCAATTAATTTATAAAACTATAAAAGAATTTATTAACAAAGATTTATTAAATTAATAATAAAAATAAATAATAGTTTATTAAAGATTTGAAAAAAAAAGATCAAATAATGTAATGATTATAATTATGAGAAATCTATAACTGTGTTTTTCTCCAGAAGGATGAATAACCATCCTTATATATTGTTTTAGTTGTATAGTTATCCCTTTACTTGTTCATCAATAATTAATAATAATTTTATTTATAATTAAAATCCCTAAATTACTCAAAACTATATTAAGTAATTAGCTTTAGTGACTTAATAAAATATATTCTTCTAATTATTCTTTTTATAGTTTAATAAAACGACTTTAACTAGTTTTTTAATTAAATAATAAGATATTTTGCTCTAAAGATCGTTTGAATATAAAAACTATAGAAATTTAAAGGATTGGTGAGAATTTACAAGCTAATTACGTGATCACGTGATCTCCAACGTATAACTATCTTGAATGATAATACTATTCCTTCCTATAAATAATAAATTCAAAAATAAATTTATAAAATAATAATAAAATAATATCAAAAGAAGCTAAAATAATAATAATAAAATAATAATAATAATTAAATAATATAATGAAATTAATTA